TCCTTTTCAGGTGGGGGGGGGGGGGGGGGGGGATAAGCTCTTGTAATCCGAATAGAACGACGTCCGAGATGATCTGTTCAAATTGCGGGGTTTTTTTTTAAACAGTTTGATAAATAGTTTTTTGAAATAGGACCTATGCAAACGTCACCTGGTGATAACAATGTAAATTGTTGAAACGTGGTGTACATTAGATATACTATACAATTGTGTTCCATTATTGAAAGCAAACAGCCATCGGGCACTCGTATAATCTTCGGGACCAGGATACTGCAATGTTCAACTCACGGAAACTAACGAACATTGGCGAAGGTTGAGCTGAATGAGACATCGTGATGTGTAAGAAATACTAGCTATATATCTTAATACTAGCATCTGCTTCAAGGTCGATGATATCATTTTAATAATCATAGAAATAATCATCAAACATTCTTGAAATACCAGGGCGCCAGATTGGAATGTAGATGTATTTTATAAACTATGTAAATCAGAAGACTGGATAACCGAATATTAAGGATTGTGATGACTGTGAAGTCATTGAAAGAGCTGATGCCATTAAAATACATAAAATCATGATTGAAATAAATTAGTTGGCTTGTGTTTTATAAAAAAAATCGTTTTGTTTGACCGACAATACTTGCATCCTCTCATTAAAAAGTGAAAATTGGGTCTCAAATCTAAAACATTTTGCAGTCGGATGGGGTCAGACAAGCTTCAAACGCCTTTTTCACCATTCAGTTTTACACTACTATAATTATATCTCAAAATATTCAAGGTATACTATATTACGGTGGCTCACATACGACATATTTCACTTTTGATTTTGAATTAAAAACATTAATTTTCATTAGGTGATAATTCGTGTAATTTTGAATTAAAATCTTTAATTTTCACCTTGGTGATAATTCAACGAATCTTGTAAAGAACGGCGAAAAATAAGTTTTTAATTCAAAATTATTGAATTATCACCTTGGTGAAAATTAAAGTTTTTAATTCAAAATTACAGGAATTATCACCTAATGTTCACCCGCGTGAAAATGATTATCACCTAAGTGAACATTAAAGTTCTGAATTCAAAATTTCACCTAGGTGAAAATTTTAATTCAAAATAAAAAGTGAAAAATGTCGTATGTGAGCCACCGTAGTGTAGTATTAAATTTGTGATATTATGTACAATGAGAACGGAACTCAATATATACAACAAGCTGTTATTTAAACGGGAGTGTTACTTTAAAACATTCACAGACGATGAAGTGATGAATATAATAAGAGTAAAAATATATGTGTGCTATATTGATTAAATATTAATTTACAGTATTCTCATATGACTAACTTTGTTTTTGTTTGGTTTATTTTGACAGCCACAGGGCAAAACATATTATGTCAGAAACGTAGAAAACTTTCTGTTCTGTGCACAATCACAGAAGACTTTTCTGTCAGAGGCAACAGAAGAATTCTGTTAAAAACAACCAAACCAAAAGACATTTCTGATAAAACACAGAAAACACTTCTCTCACGGTCTTTGATAGAAACATTGAAGACGTTCTTAAATGACACACAAGGCTTTTCTGTTGGAAACAACAGATGATTTTTCTGTTAAAGACAAAGACGACACTTTTTTAAACAGTAGAGAGTTGTCTGTTAAAAACAGAGAAGACTTGTTGAGTAGATACAGAGAAGACTTGTTGAGTAGAAACAGAGAAGACTTGTGGAGTAGAAACAGAGATGACTTGTTGAGTAGAAATAGAGAAGACTTCTTGAAATAGAGAGGACTTGTTGAGTAGAAACAGAGAAGTCTTGTTGAGTAGAAACAGAGAAGTCTTGTTGAGTAGAAACAGAGAAGACTTGTTGAGTAGAAATAGAGAAGACTTGTTGAGTAGAAACAGAGAAGTCTTGTTGAGTAGAAATAGAGAAGACTCGTTGAGTAGATATAGAGAGGACTTGTTGAGTAGAAACAGAGAAGTCTTGTTGAGTCGAAACAGAGAAGACTTGTTGAAATAGAGAAGTCTTGTTGAGTAGAAACAGAGAAGTCTTGTTGAGTAGAAACAGAGAAGTCTTGTTGAGTAGAAACAGAGAAGTCTTGTTGAGTAGATACAGAGAAGTCTTGTTGAGTAGATACAGAGAAGTAGAAACAGAGAAGTCTTGTTGAGTAGATACAGAGAAGTCTTGTTGAGTAGATACAGAGAAGTCTTGTTGAGTAGAAACAGAGAAGACTTGTTGAGTAGAAACAGAGAAGTCTTGTTGAGTAGATACAGAGAAGACTTGTTGAGTAGAAACAGAGAAGTCTTGTTGAGTAGAAACAGAGAAGTCTTGTTGAGTAGAAACAGAGAAGTCTTGTTGAGTAGATACAGAGAAGTCTTGTTGAGTAGATACAGAGAAGTCTTGTTGAGTAGATACAAAGAAGTCTTGTTGAGTAGATACAGAGAAGTCTTGTTGAGTAGAAACAGAGAAGTCTTGTTGAGTAGAAACAGAGAAGACTTGTGGAGTAGAAACAGAGAAGTCTTGTTGAGTAGAAACAGAGAAGACTTGTGGAGTAGAAACAGAGAAGTCTTGTTGAGTAGAAACAGAGAAAACTTGTGGAGTAGAAACAGAGAAGTCTTGTTGAGTAGAAACAGAGAAGTCTTGTTGAGTAGAAACAGAGAAGTCTTCTTGAGTAGAAACAGAGAAGACTTGTGGAGTAGAAACAGAGAAGACTTGTTGAGTAGAAACAGAGAAGTCTTGTTGAGTAGAAACAGAGAAGACTTGTTGAGTAGAAACAGAGAAGTCTTGTTGAGTAGAAACAGAGAAGTCTTGTTGAGTAGAAACAGAGAAGACTTGTGGAGTAGAAATAGAGAAGTCTTGTTGAGTAGAAATAGAGAAGACTTGTTGAGTAGAAATAGAGAAGATTTGTTGAGTAGAAACAGAGGAGACTTGTTGAGTAGATACAGAGAAGTCTTGTTGAGTAGATACAAAGAAGTCTTGTTGAGTAGAAACAGAGAAGACTTGTTGAGTAGAAACGGAGAAGACTTGTTAAGTAGATACAGAGAAGTCTTGTTGAGTAGAAACAGAGAAGTCTTGTTGAGTAGAAACGGAGAAGACTTGTTGAGTAGATACAGAGAAGTCTTGTTGAGTAGATACAGAGAAGTCTTGTTGAGTAGAAACAAACCTTCTTCATAAGTCCAATAACGGGCTAAAAAGTTGAACGTAAAACACGTTTTCATTACTTCTGATATAATGACTGGTATAGATAATTCGGCCAGGAAGGTTGTAGAATTTAGGAAAATATATAAATATATTTCAACAAATGTTACATTTTGACCTATAAAAATATCTTGTGTATATAAACATGTTGTTAAATAATTTGACAGATCACATCTGGCGTCAGTGTTACCCCGAATTCATTAAAACATCGACTTGGTCAGATATTGATTCAACTATTGAATGATATCGAGTCTTGTAGGTAATTATGTGTAATAGGCTAGGCAAGTAAAAAACCGAAGTTTGATCCAACAGAGACAGAGATGACGCCTTTGGATTTTCCAACCCAGTTTCCCCTGACACAATAGGAGCCGCGGTGGTGCAATGAGGTAGACGCTTGCTCTCTAGCAAGAAGGTGCAGTATTCAATCCCGCCATAGGTTTATATAATATCTCTAGATTATATAAAGCTATTCCCCACTGTCATTGATGCAGGCCGGGGTTAAAGTTGAATTCGATTGGATGAGTCAGCTAACTGAGGTAGGCTACAGTGCAAGCTGTGTACGTTAAAGATCCCAGACAGTTGCAAGAAAAGCACTGTTTCATTTGAAAATACCGTCGAAGGGATGGATACGACGAAACTGTAGCTACACAAAGAATGGATGATGCTTCAATACGTTTATAAGACTTGAATTTCAGTTGCAATAGCTACCAGCTATACGACTGTTATTCTAGTTGGGGGTCGAGAGTAGGGGAGGGGGCATTCTTGTAGGACATAGATAGCTACTCTGGACAATTTAAGATCCACACCCAATTCAAAGAGTTCACAATGACTAACAATGTTTGTATAATTGATTCTCCTTTACCGAGGTAGTGTCTTTAAACTTTAGATCAATCATAAAGGCATCGATTTTCCTTCGATCCACGAAATAATTGATAGATTTTTTTCTTTCTGTCTTTTGTCCCACTGTATTTCCCTCATCGTACCCTGCATGGCGTTGCCCGTCTTCATTAGCCCACATGGTGCAGAAAAGTAGGACGTAAAACTCCATTCACTTCATTTCATTTTTTTGTCCCACTGTGCGAGTTTATCGGGGCGAAACGTTGAAATGTGAATAACGGTGCATATATTTGAAAAGCGCAATCAACGGCAGACAACTATGAGATTGTTTTGGTATATTCCCCTAGTAAATGTCTTGTCATCTCTATGTATATGAGATTCTCTTGGCTATTTCTCTAGTCAACGTCTTGACATCTATATGTATATGAGATTCTCTTGGCATATTTCTCTAGTCAACGTCTTGACATCTCAATGTATTGGATTCTCTTAGCATATTTCCCTAGTCAACGTCTTGACATCTCTAGGTATGAGATTCTCTTGGCATATTTCCTTAGTCAACGTGTTGACATCTCTAAAGTATTAGATTCTATTGGCGTATCTCCCTCGTCAACGTCTTGACATCTCAATGTATTGGATTCTCTTAGCGTATTTCTCCAGTCAACGTCTTGACATCTCTAGGTATGAGATTCTCTTGGCATATTTCCCTAGTCAACGTCTTGACATCTCTATGTATATGAGATTCTCTTGGCATATTTCTCCAGTCAACGTCTTGACATCTCTAGGTATGAGATTCTCTTGGCATATTTCCCTAGTCAACGTGTTGACATCTCTATGTATGAGATTCTCTTAGCGTATTTCTCCAGTCAACGTCTTGACATCTCTAGGTATGATATTCGCTTAGCGTATTTCTCCAGTCAACGTCTTGACATCTCTATGTATACATTTTCTTAAGCAATTCCGCTATTCCCCTAGAAAGGATGCCAGCAATGATCGTTGAAAGTCACGTGTATAAAACGATTGACATATCAAATAGAAGCAATTGATCGTCAGATATTTTGAGAAACGGGGACCAGTAGTCCTGATGAGATTTCTTGTCCGAAACACGTGTTGGCAGTTAGAGATCCGATCTTGTCTATTTGCCAATTATCCAGGGGGTTATTAATATAAGTAAAATATAATTTATGACATATAAGTTATAATTTTGGGTTAAAGTCGGGGTGACTCTGACCTGAACTCTCGATCTTTTTACTCAATAAGTTGAGATTCGAAGTTTGCATTTTATCATGTACTTTGTTCTAAACTTGGCTATTGTACAACTTCCCTTTTTAAATATATACAGTCATCCCAGATTAGATACGAGTATATATCACTGAGTTCTCTTACTGTTTTTATACCATTTTGATTTTTTAAAGATGGGATTTCTTATTTTTTTAGTGTCAAAATAAGCAAACTATTGGATTAATTGGTGTTTCTAATGAATTATCGTGTATTCTGAATCATATCATTATGTTCTTATTGTATATAATTTTAACCAATCGTAAATGTCCATGTATTTACAGTCTTGATAAACAAAAAAAGACTTTTTGACATTTCTTGATCACCATCGAAATTTGAGACTTCAAATCCATATATGTTTAGAATTAGCAGTGTTGGAATTTGAAAAGACGACTCGTCTTTTCTTGAAACATATCAGAAATAGAAAGTGAAATTCCTCGTTTGAGATATTTTTGAAGGAATTATGCCATTTTCGTAGATTTCAAGTACTTCTGATGACTATTTACATATATTAATCAAGAGCCAAATCAACTCCGAAAACGACGAACCTGTAACGTACACAATTTTCGACTGAGTTTAATTTGTACATAACGTTTCAACAATGTACATTGTCATCATCAGGTGAAAAATGAAAAAAAAAAAAACATCCTGATGATAATGTAAATTGTTGAAACGCTGTGTATAATCAAACTCAGGGGCAGTATACCATAAAATTGTGTTCGCTTTTTGATGTGATCTCTACCCCTAAATGTCGCTTGATAAGGATCATGAAAGTCCTGGCCAGGTATTCTCGAAACAATCATAGCTCTAGGATGTCCTATGTTCTTATCTTCTAACATTGATTCTAGGACATCCTAATGCTTTTAGACATAAAAATTGCTAATTTAGTTTAAAGATTTCAACACAAAGGGGATAGGGAACTGGGCATTGTTGGCAAAAATTGCCTCCATTCCACACTGCATGGCGTTATCCGGCTTTCTCAACTCAATAATTTTAAGAAAAGGTATGAAAGTGCTGATTTTAGTTCGATATATATATTAATTATACAAGATGTTTACTAGTAGTATATCATAATAGACAACCTTACAATAGATACTGCACCTAATACCCTTCTTTACGTCTCGAGACTAGACTACAGACTTCATCATCCAGTGACTTGTTTATATATCAATATACAATGAAGACTGGATAACAGACTTTACTTATATAGTGCACTTTAAGTATTGAAAGTTGTGAACTTATATTTGTATATATAGATCTGTCGTAATTTAATATTCAGAAAGCAAATACATACTTTGGAGTGAATTGGAATCATACTACAAAAACATATACTAAAATTGAAAGAGCACTTGTGTCTCTATACTGGCGTATATAGGTTATATTTATTTTTGAAACAAATTGGAATTCTATTACAAAAGCATTTACTTCTGGAGAGATTTACAAGATAAACAAAAAATTCAGAAATGCAAAGCGATTGTAAAATTTCCCTCATTGCACAATGTAGGATGGTTGCCCAGCCCAAAGTTAGATACGGAAAGTAAACACAGACATATACATTGTATCACAAGACTATTAAATTCGGACATAAAGGAGTGGAAATACCTCGAAATCAAAGTTGTTCATGCATGGGATATAAATTCAAATTCTTTCTGTCTGGGGTCAAGGTTTTTTTTAACAATATTTTATTCACATAGATATGAAAAGGATTGGGGAACAGATTCACCTATATAACTCCTCTCCAATGTTTCATTGATAGCGCACATTCTCAAATAGATTATACAATCGTCTTAAAACAAAGTTAAAATTGAATTTTATGAGATAAATTGAAAATCCTGCTTTTTAAATGTTGTAAACTGCCCCTCTATTCATTTTAATTGGTTTTGTTGATTGATCTCACGAGAAATTGGTAGGGGGGGGGGGGGGGGGGGTTCGGAGAGCGGATTTTATGGCCCCTATGTGGTGAGTGGCAGGTAGTCAGAGCTCCTGGTATCACCAAAAAGCCCTACCCCACGTCTCTATGATGCCAGGCCTATATATTACTTGGTGGGTTATACTAAACACATGCGTACAAGAGTTTAAATATAGAACCCACTATTCAAGGACAGTTCATATAAATACACAATATCGTAAAACAAACAATCAAAACTAGTTTACCGATATTTCAAAATACATATGGCATGTAAAGTTTATTGTGTCAATCGTAGGGTAGGCCCTATATAGCTAACAGCAACAGTTATTGTCATCAGTTTTGAGGTAGGCCCTATGCCTACTTTTTTTTTAAATGCCCCATATGGTAATGTGCGTTGAGCCACTGAGGAATATTTGTTGTGGAAATAATTTTGATGAGCAGATACATAAAAAGATCCAAAGAGGGAGGGTTGGAAAGGGGCTGAGTTATGGGTACTGTTGCAGACTTCAGCTCACGGTAGCTGAGTTGAGTCCGCCTCACGCCTTTGGACGGTAAAAAAAAAAGCACATTGATTTGAAAACTGTTCACGTCAAAAGATAACACTTGCGGAACGGTAGTCAGTCGAAAATATTACTTCGACTAACATTAAAAACTCGTTGTAAGGATTAGTCCACTTCTTCGAATGCCTGTGTGGTGAATAACATGTGACATGGTTTCGAGCACCTGTGGCCAAGGATTTATGCTTCAAGACATATTTTACGTCTTATAAATTCCAGGGTCATTCATCTTCATTGTAAGTGGCTATATATATAACATATACATTAGAAATATTGAGTAGATTATTGTTCATGAAAAAATTTGACAGGATTTGCCGAAAAATACCATTTTAACTCGCGTCTGGCTTCGAGAGAACTGACCGAATTAACTATTGAGGTCAAGTTGATCTTTCACCGGATATCCGACATTTTACTTCTATTCTCGTCTTCCGAGAATATAGTCCTTGAATTCTTTGCTCAGTTTGAAAAATTCTCACCACCATATTTTGTGATTTTTTAATCACTAACAAAGTTGTTATTATTTTTAGATATCCTCGCAGTTTTTCAAAGTTTTATTGCCTTTTATGGAAACCATGATGACGTGAATGGCCGGGACTATATTCAAGACTTGAAGCTGGAGGCAAGGCCGCCATTGTAGCTAGTTATTGAAGAGCATAGGAAGAAACTGAAGTAAAATGGAGCAACACACAGAGTAGTGATTATATTATACAGTGACAGTTTCTCTCAGATTTATAATTCACTACCGATCTGGAAATTGCTACATCAATCGGAAAGTTATATAGAGGAGTACACGACTGGATTTATCAACTGTCTGTCATCTCTGATTTTGCTGAGAATTTGTTTTCTTTTTGACATTTGCAGAGCCGTTGCTCAAATGAGGAATTTGTTTTTTTCTCAAGTCCAAGATTATTTCTGTATTCATGGGATAAAATTATGGATCAGTTTGGGAACAACGCAAATTACGGAGTAATTTCAACTGGGAGTGAACCCGTCACCATTCACGACACTGTGGAAATCATTGCTGAGCATTCTTCTCGATTTTGTCATGACGTGAGTGACAGTCGAGGATCGAAAATACTTTTTCTGCAGGCATGTGGCAGCATTATTTTCTCTGGTTGTGTGAAATAGACACCTTTACTAACTTTGATTGTTTTGTAGGATTTTATTTCCACCTTAGCAGTATTCTGTAATAATTTTCATTTATTTTGTGTGTGGTGATTGAGAAAGAATTTTTGTGAAGTAGCCAAACACATGGTCTACAGTATTCGACAATATTGTTAGGTGTATGTGATCAAATATTCATAGAGTAAGTCTGTAACTTAGTCTACAAGAGCCCTGGAAATAATCATAATCAGATCTAGTTAAAATATGTGGTTATTTGTGATTTTACGTTGAAGTGGTTGAGTGTATTTTGTTTGAATTTTCTTTTCAAAATGAGTAAAAGTCAGATTGAAAGTTTAAATGGGGAAATGAACCATAATGATCATAGTGATCCATCCACGCCGTTTCGTAAGACAAGCACGTCATATATGAAAGGCAGTAATGCTTATAATCACCATGGAAATGGACGCAAAAATGGAGTAGAAATGGGGCAAAAGTTTACGTCTCATTCACGAGTACAGAAGAGAAATAATGATAACAAACACTCACCAGAAGCGATAACTCAAACCGAACGTTCATCGCGAATAATAAGTAGTGGAGTGCGCGAAAGGAAATGTTTGTCGGACGATGTTACTAGTAAGGTTCCTGTGATATCTACTAGCTCTGCTAGCACCTCTACTAAAAAACCAGGCACTCGTTTCCGTATCACACAGTATGATAAAAAGGAGGTTGATAGGAAAGAATTGCGTAAAGAACGATCTCAAAGCTTTCCGTCGGGATCCCATGAAGATTTAGACAGTGTGCCAAAAGATAATAAGGACAGTATTCCTCACGGACAGGATAGCAAAGCAAGGACTAAATCTGAAAATGACAAAGATTCAGAAGCAGTTTGTAGCGAAATTAAGCGACGTCCTAAACACACATTTCAAAGACTTGTCGTTCACCCAAGTACAGCTAGTATGGCTAGCATTGAAGAAAATGCAGAAGCGAAATCCAAAACTGACTCCCACAGTGTTCTGAGCACACCCAAATCCTTGACAAAACGAAAGGGTGAAAATCCCAAGCACAAACGATCAGTGAAGATATTAGAATCACCTACTAGTGTTGAGGTGGTTCAGAGTAGCAGTAATACCGGTACTATAAGTGGAATAAAGCATTCTGTGATAGAAAGTGGTTATGGTAGCAGTTCAGTTCCTGAAGTTGACATCACGTTGGATACATCTCTTGCCGATACGTCCATTAAAACCCAACTAGAGGAAGATGACAAAGATGCGAAGAGAGATGAAAATGGCGAAATTAAGAAAGAAGATGAATTTGAAGAGAAGGCAATGGCAACCTCTCCTGACGGCAGATTTCTCAAGTTTGATGTGGAGATCGGAAGAGGGTCGTTCAAGACAGTATTTAAAGGGTTGGACACAGAGACTGGTGTCGCAGTGGCTTGGTGTGAATTACAGGTAAGCTGATGTGTTAACATTATTTCTAGCCCATTTTCCTTCGTCTCAATCATGAGTAATAGTTGCCTAAATGTGTCTAGATATCTGTCAGAATTATAGTTCCAAAATCTTTAGTCCAACTGGTTCAAGTTAAGTCTTAGTTGGAGTCTAGTCATTTTAAAGCTTATGTGAGCTTATTCTTTTTTGTTATATAAGCTACACGTTTTTTTGCATTTAAGTTTTCAATGGTTATTATTTGCCTCAATGTTTGCTTTTTATAAATAGTTAATGAATTAAAATGACGGAATAATAGTTCAAGAAGTCTTTGTGCTAAGTACACATTAAAATAGCTAAATTAATGACAAAAGATAGATTTACCTAATCTAGGCTTTAAATTTCAATGCTTTTAATTTTTATTAAAAACAGTGAATAACGAACTAATTCTTGTTTAGAATTATATATTAATTATCATAAGAGTCTAAGTTTAAGCTAATGTGATAATTTAATTATTTTATAAAGTAGGTCATAGAGAAGATCAATCAAAACTAAATTAAGATCAAGGTTAAAAGTCACAGTTCGTTATATAACCTCTGAGGTTCTGGCCTTATGGGGGACATTTTCACAAGTCTTATACTTTTATAATTCTTAAATGAGCCGTATACTGCATATATTTCTAAGGTTTTATAATCTTATATGGTTCTCTTATTTTCTATTCATTATGCTTGATTTCTATCTAATTTTCTCTGTCTGTTTGTATATTCTTTGAAGTTATTGGCTTTAAATATATAACAGTTACACAAGCTTATATTCCTAGCTAAGTAGCTATATACACCTGGTTTATCTACAATCAAATAAAACATACCAACAGAAGGGACTCAAATTCTTTTGCTAACACTTTTGATAGTATCATTACGACTGTTCCAATTTTTCGAGTACCAGTACAAAGTATAATAGGTATTCATGTCACTATTTTTCTGGAGTTTCAGAGAAACTCTTAAGCTCTGATTAAGCTTGTACAACAAATTTGTGTTGGTTCTAATAAGAATATAAGGTTATTTTTTTATTGTCAACCTGCTAAATTGTCTTTTGTTGGCTGCAGGATTCAATGATTCTGTAACAATGTTTTGGTGAATTACACTTGTTTTAGCTCCCTTTAACTTTTCTCTGATTATAATAATGAAAAAAACAATTTATGATATAAATGATTCCGTACTGGTAACAAATTTCGCAAATTACTCTTATGTAAGCTACCTTCAGTTTATATCTGATTATCTGCCCTATATACAATACCTATGTAACCTGACATACACATAGTTTCAGCGAACGTTAACTTGTCATCTACCTAACTACCTACCTAGTTTCAGGATTACAGAACATTGAATAATTAATTAAGTGAGGTATTCTAATGAGTATTTGTATGTAACATTTTGTCAAGTTAGCTAATGAGTTATTTAAATATTCTGTTTAATGGATCACAGATCATACTGATTAAAATCAACACAATAAACAAATTCATTTCATTATATCACTTGATATTACTTTCATATTTAAGTGATAAATATAATCGTGCATTTTTCCTCCTAATTCACCGTAAATAAAAGGATATCAATGAAAAATTCAGCTAAGTTTTCAATGACAGGTTGAAGTTAAAAACGATGAAGCAGCGTACTGGAAACTGATGAATTGACGGAACAAATTTAATACATTTATATGATTAGTCAGCACAAAACATATTAATTATTTTTCAATAATACTTAATATTTAACATTATTCCAATTACTTATCGTCAGGGTTAGAACTCTTAAACATTTAGTGCAACAATTTCTATTTCAAATATAGAAAATCTGATCTAGTGCAGCATCTACAGCAAACATTAGGGCTGTCTCATTAAAGGACCAGGATTTATAGTAAAATTTCTGGTATGAAAACCTTACAAGTGATATTGGGCTCAATCTCTTCCAGTAAGCGTATATAAAAAAAATACATTCAAGCAAAATAATACCGTTGACCAAATATCTTACCCAAAGCAAGACAAAATCAGGAGCAATAATAGTATATTAGTGGACTTCTCATACGAGAAATACCATCAGGTGTTTTGAGTAATATTTTCTCTGTAGACTACAACATCTTTCTTTTTATTCAGGATTATTTGAATGATAAAGTTGCATATCTGGGAAAGGTAGCGTAGCAAATACAATCAAAACACAATGCATGACACCATTTATATTTGGTTTATTTAACACGTTCAAAACTAACAATTGCGTTTCTTCAATTAATTTCAGTTGCTTATTATTTGATTTTTTATTGAGTTGTTTATAATTGGTTTTATTTTGATGACTTTGTCCCTAAATTCCTGTAACGAAAAGTCTAATTTTCAAGTAATTTTTTACTAAATGTATGTCAATCAATGTACTAAAAGATTGCCACCCTACCCCCCCCCATCTCAAACAGAAAATACCCAGTAATAATTGTGTCAAAAGATAAGGATTCTCAACAAGAAATGAAGAGGTTTGAAAATATAGAGTAATACTTTTATATCTTAATTTAAAATCTTTGAAAATGAAAGAAAATAAATAAATGTGTTTTGTTTTGATTTAATTTATAACTTACTAGGTTCAAAATGAGGAGTTGATTGTTTTATATGCAATTAATAAACATGTAAGAAAAATTAATGAAAATTAACCTATTCTGGATGTTATTTTGATTTGTTTAGGATAGACCAATATTCTCTTCTGGTGTAAGTAACTCCTGTCTGTGTAGCTGTTTGTTGTCCAATCATTCTCCATTCATTGATCATGTGATTAGGGCAAGAAACGTATCAAGAATCTTTAACATGTGATGGCTGCAATGCATTCATTGTGATTTTCAGAATGTGTTCTATAAGCTAATGTGTCAAGTCTCTGTTCATTTCCATGACTGTTAGCATTATGATGACTTAAATCAACTGCTATGGACATGTAAGCTCATAATTCTAATTTTGCCTGAGAAGGCATTGGGTCATCATACATTAGCATTGCATGTTATAGATTGTTGTTAAAATTCTAGCCCCGTATTCCATTTCAATTCAATCATTTTTATCAGCTGGTCATTTTATGTTGGTGTGGGTTCATACAGAATACTGAAAATCATACTTCTCACATATTAGGATTTAATCTGTCAAGGCACTGGGAAAGGATGTAAAAACTTTTATGGAAACATACAACACACAATAAATTTCTTCAATGTCTATTCCAACAAATTAAAATGCAGTTCTTTAAAAGATTTAATGATGAAAACATCATTCAAGTTGAAAAATCCCTTGACTATAAATGATGAAAGATACTTAATACCATACATTCTATTAATAAAATTTGCTTTGTAAACTCTCTCAAAGAAATGCTAAGAATTCAAAGAGTTTTGTATTTGAGGCAATGGATTGAACAAATCAAACAATCTTATTCATGCGAAAATAGTTAACAATACTCAAAAAATAGCCACATGCAAGTGAGTTGATTTGATTGACTTGTTTAAAAATCATGTGAAATCATGAATTCTCATTATTTCGGTCCCTAATTTGAGGTTTAGCTGCTAAAGTGAATCAGGGTAGAAATATATAAGCTTATTATAGTTTTAGACATGTATATTGAAGAGTCAATGCATCTATATCAGTGCGTTTTCTATTAACCTAGATGTCAACTTTGATGTAATTTTCCCCGAGGAAGAAATTATAATGAAGTGGATTGATTGAAACCAGTGAAAATAAACTAAATTCACATCGCGTATTTCAAGTGTTGGTTTAACACTAATTAATTTTTCCTTCGTTAGCTTAATTAACGAAGTATTCTAAAAGACTTTGACCAAGGTGAACTTGAAATAGGCATAATTTTTGATCAGAAAACTAATTATGATGAATGAATTTGTTTGAAAGATGAACAATTATTAAACTAAAAAATTGATTTACTATGGGCTTAAGATGTATACAAGTTTAACAATATGATCCTTATTAAAAAGGCCATTTGCACAGTTTTGTAAGAAAAATAATTAACATAAATCATCAGTGATTAATTTGACATTTAATGGACTAGGGTACAATTAATATAATTTGATTTATAATAATCATCATGATAATGCATCTGATTTAAAATTTGATTTATTAAATGAAGAACAAAGTGAAATTTATCAATCTAGACTCTGTTATCTTGAATCATGATGTGTAGAGATATAGCGTAGTTATCATCACATGATAGTATATACGATTAATAATTATAATTTTACTCTACTGATATGACTAGTCACTAGACAGTTCCCATTTATACCAAAGTTTGATAACACTGCTCAAAATAAGTTATTGAAATGATCAAAATTTTAATTATATAAGCTTATGGTTTTTAAAAAAAATTAATTAAAGGGACAGATGTACCATTTTTTTTCACCAATCTTACCTTAGTATCAGAAACAGAATATTTTACTTCAGAGATGATGTTAATGAATAGAGAGCATGTACCTGCTTCAAAATACCAAGCATTGTCAAAAAACAATCATGTCTCCCATTCTCCAATTTATCAATTTCTGTTAAAGGCAATAGTTTGCTATTTTCGGGGTTGATTTGGCTTTTCAATAGCCTTCAGAAGTACTAGAACTGCAAACTAGAACTATACCTCAAACTAGAAATATCACAGTTTTCAAATGATTTTATTGACATTTATTTTCATTACACTTTGCTTAGAAGATTAATATAGTGAGTTTTGCTCTAACACACTTTGTTAGTGAACTTTGCATTTATTTCTGATAATCACTGAAGGCAATAACAGAATGTACATGTCTTATAATAATATTTATTGGGTATTTGTATTGTTAGCAGCTGCTTTGAAGATAATAATGAAAAAAAATAACCACATTGTAGAGCAAAATTCCACTCATTTTGAACATGTAATAAGAACCACGCTTAATAGGATCTATTCAGTGGCATTTCTCAGAATAATTTGGTGAGGGTGTCTAGTGGAGGCAGTTCTCTCCTTTTGTTCAATGATAAGAAATTTGAAAGTGGGGAGGGGGGCAGTTTCAATTCAGTGGTAGAAGGGCCACTGACAGTATGTTAAATATTGTTCCTGAAAGCCACCTTTTGTATTCATTAAAGTAAGAATATATCTCAATTGGCCCATTCAGTGTACTAGTAATAGATTAAATTAATTAAAATTTACACTTTGTAATGGGAAAAAGGACAGAATAAGAGCCTAGCTGACACGACATGTGACCATGTTAAATTATTTATAAGGATAAATTCTAACATTTAGAGGACATACAAGAGTCAAAGCTCTCTGTGTACCTGATGTTAGTTTTACCTTCAATTACATAAATCTACTCTAAGATGTCAACTGTCATTACTTTTATGTACCTGGCAGTATTTAAAACTGGGTTGTTTTGATAGAATATTTGAAGTCAAACTAGCTACAATCTTAATACTCTGGTTCTTTTCATTCATTCAATCATTCATTCTTTCATTCATTCATTCATTCATTCCTTCATTTGGTTGGTCGTTCGTTCATTCATTCTATTATTCATTCATTCATTCATTCATTCATTCATTCATTCAATCAATTATATTCATTCTGTTTTTGTCTGTACTCTTTATTGATGGGTATTTTGTGTTTTTTAAGATTAATAGATAATAGCCAGTAGTTTTATTGAGTTTGCTTGCCGTTTTGTCTTACTTATAGCTTCCGACATACAATATATATATAACATCACTGGGCCTTATTCACTGCTCTGCTTACCTAAGCATTAATATACTATACTTAAAACTGAAGAAATGTTGAAAATGCTCACAAACTGTAGGATATTCAGTTCTTTTCACAAACCATACTAAGTGAAATTTTTGACATATATCACACTTTGAGCATGAATGAATGATCAAATTTGAATTTATTGATTTTTTCCTATCACATGTATTGATGATTTTTTTTAAACTTATCAAGTTGTCAGCTTGCTGTCCTGATATAAACTTTTAAAGCATCTGACCCCAACCGTTGGTTTTGAGTGAAATTAATTTGCATGATAGTTCCTAAATTTTAAACAAACATGTTATATAAATACCTATTCAAGGCTGGATATATTATACCAGTCACCAATTTGACACCCCTTAACTTCTTTAGTGAACTCTTCCACATGTGCATACCTTCTATAAATAAATATGAGACTCAGGTCCTGGAAGAGCTTATTTATTTATTGATAGGGATGTTTTTGTTGCCTGTCAAATTATATCCAGCCTTGTTAAGACTAGTTAATCAGGAATTTTCTGTTGAATAAGCTGAAATTTCTTCTGTGATATTTGACCTTTATATTCCAATAATTCTGCTGTAATATCTCCATCTTGACATCCTAAATTAGATGTAGCTAGAACTCAGTTTAATTTAATATCTGAATTTTACTTTCAATTTAGCATCATGTCCACTCAAAATTACCTCCCTTTTGTCTAATTTTAGGATAAGAAATGGAACAAAAGTGAACGTCAGAGGTTTAAAGAAGAAGCTGAAATGTTAAAGGGATTACAGCATCCCAATATCGTGAGATTTTACGATTATTGGGAAGAGGTCAATCAACGAGGGCGAAAGGTCATTATCTTGGTTACTGAATTAATGACATCCGGAACGCTGAAAACGTAAGTCAAATTTGTTCATCAGTGTAACAAGTCTGAAGGAATGACTAAGAGTGATCCTCTGGTCAAATTTAAGAATAGTGAAATCCTGCTTGTTCCTGTCTGTCCATTCTTCTTCTTACTTTTAAAAAAAAAATATATGAAGCACATTGGAACAAAATTGTAGTTAAAGAGAATTCCCTGAAGCAAAAGAAAAGGATTCGGACTTTGTGTCGTGGGTCTCTTTGGTTATCCTGGTAAAATTCATCTAATCGTCCGTCTAATCAAATTGAATTAAATTTATTTCCTCTGTGTATTTATTTCAGATATATCAAGAGGTTTCGTAAAATTAATCTAAAAGTATTAAAGAATTGGTGTAGACAGATATTAAAAGGCCTGTATTTTTTACACACGAGAACACCACAAGTTATACATCGTGATCTAAAATGTGATAATATATTTATAACTGGTACTACTGGTTCTGTTAAAATTGGAGATTTAGGATTGGCTACGTTAAAAAATAAATCTTTTGCTAAGAGTGTAATAGGTGAGTATTGTTTATAAAAGGAATCAAGCATTTTTTCAACGGAAATACTAAACCGAAACATCTGCCTCTATTCTAGCCTCTGATTGATATTTTGACAGTTGTCAGCTGGAGTAGAGTCAGAAGAAAAAGACCTGTTAAATGGGGATTTTCCACACCTCCAAAGATGCATTTTCTCTAGCATAATATTGAATTATCTTTAAGATGATTGTAAATTAGTGTTGGGCATCACCGTAACTTTCATTTTGTTAGCATTATGTGACTCTGTGACCTTAGAACTTTTGACTGAGCACACAGTTTAAATGGCCGATGCTAGATGACATGACAAAAATGGTGTAGGGAGAAAATTATGGTATGACTGAACTACAAAAATATTCATCTTTCCAAATATACCTGGTTTTTGCAAACCTGAGGAATCTAAATAGGTTTAAAACCCAGCACTTGCGGAGATGCAAAATGTCCCCATTTAACAGGGCTTATTATTTCTGTCTCTACACCAGCTGACATCTGTGCAAATAGCTATTAGAGGTTGGAATAGAGACAGATGTTTTTGGTCTACAGAAATACATGACATTTAACTACAACTTTGACTCTATATATGGCAGTAACTTTTGAATTTTCAAAACTTTTCAAACTTTTGATATAGACCATTGGCAATTTTGAGATCTATTTATTTATTATGTTCTGATACATCTTCACTCGCATGTTTTTTGTGTAGTCTAATCATATTCTTAAAAATCTTTCCTTCCACAGCAGAAACAAGCAAAGATCTTTCACTTTAACTTTAAGGTACCCCTGAGTTTATGGCTCCAGAAATGTATGAGGAACATTATGACGAGGCCGTGGATGTTTATGCTTTTGGTATGTGTATGTTGGAGATGGCCACATCAGAATATCCCTATAAAGAATGTACTAACGCTGCCCAGATCTACCGTAAAGTCACTAGTGTAAGTTCCTTGTGATATTTAATTTTATACTTTGCTCATGTATTTGATAATTTGATTAACCCTTTCAACCCTAGTGGCCGGTTAACCGTCCAAACACTAACGCAATATAATGTATACCCGAGTAGCCGGTATACCAACCATTGCTAAGTGATGTACAACGTTAACGTCCTACGCTTTTACTTATATTACTTGGAGTTCAGGGTATATGACGTACACTCAGGGTTCAAAGGGTTAAAATTCAGATTTGGATGATTTGTTAGTGTTATTTAGAAATTTAACTGTGGGTGACTTCACCTATAGTCTTATCCAGAATCAAAAACACATAACGAAAATACTAGATCTGCATCCGCATGGCAACCATATTTCAGAGGTCAGCAAAGCGACCATTACCATGTCATATCATTTAACAAAAACATACACTTTAACTCAAATATCATGTTGTTACTCAGTTTCACGTTGTAAGATCTTCAGACAACTAAGTCATATAACTTGATGTTTTATTTGATTTACACTTAATGCATAAAGGGTAAACAGTCTTGCATGATGATGTCCTAACCCTGCATGCCTGTGCCTGTGCTTTCGTGAAAATTGCTTTAACGTAACTTTTATAATCTTTGAAATAATGCAAAATATTTATTGTAATGGTTATGATTTTCGTGCAATAAAGTCTTGACAGCCAAAAAAGATGATATAAGTGATAAATTCAAGGGTAGATTTGTATAAGATATTTTGACACAATAAATCTTAACCAACTATGTACTTAGTTTTGACGAGTTGCCCTAGGGTATATTCTAGTTTTACTATTTTTATAACCTTGACTATTTTTGATACATTGAAAATGCATCTTCATTCAAAATTGATCAAATTGGCAATATTTACCACTGTTTTTGTAACAATTTTATTAATTGGTTATATTGCCCAGCTATAACTTTAATTGGCAAGACCACCTTTAAGGCTTGGGACATCAAATGGATAGCTTACAAATTGAATAAGGATTGCAAGTGACTAGTCCATACATGTATATCTGAACAAATTTCCAGGGAAAAGATCAGTTAATATCTTTTACATGTATGACAGCTTTTCATGTTAAAGATGCCATATTAGATGAAAAATAAAAAGAGACTATGATGTTGTTTTCAACAAATTTGCCTCATAACATACTGTACTTTACACAAAAAGTTTTTATTTAACAGGTTTATTGACATATTGATCTTTTGTTTCTTTATAACTCTATTTTATGGACTATACTTATGATGTTCTATCCAGTCTGTGTATGTGGTAAATTACCTTTAATATCAATTGAATACATGAAAAGAATATCAAAGAAAGAAAAGAGAAAATATAAAAATAGTCAAACCCGTTTTTGATTGAAAATGAATAATAGGGTGAAAACTTGAGTAAGCTTGAACATGTATAGAAAATCTGACTTTTTGTGAAAGTGATATTTATATATTTATATATGATTTATTTTACACATCTTTCTAAGAATTTAACTCAAACAGGAAATTATATTTTGAGGTAATTTTATTATAATTTTTATTACAAGTTTCTCTTCTAAGGTATTCACTGATAATATTCTCTTATGATTTTGTTATTGGACAAATTGATGATTTGATAATGTAGGCCAATTTTGACAGAATATAGTATATAATTATACACTTGTAAACATAAGATACATAACTTTCATAATAATATTGCCACATATACATAATAATATACAGGAAGTTAATATGTTTCAAGTATTGAAAAAAAGAATTTGACCAAATTATTGGCAGGCCTGCTTCCTTTCTTTTATCAATTTAGTGATCTAAACTTTCTATTTATTTGGATGATCAAATATACCAAATAGGTTTTCTAAACAGCTGGAGATTAAATTTTAAATTTCTCCAGGATTTTATATATAATATCCTGAAATTGAATAGTTTCAGTTTCTATTTTTAGGGATATAATTAGTCAATATTGCCAGGATTTTGTTTTTGACAGTGTGAAATGAAGAAAATTTTGCCATGACAGCAGCATTAACCTCCTACTTTTCCTAGTATATATAACTCTGAAATTAATTAATAAGTCCAATAAACAATATTCTAACAGTATAATATTGTTATGATAATAAAATATATGATAGGGACTGTCAAGTTGGTACATGTCCTCTTTGCACTTAGTACAAAAATAACAATGTTTGAATAATACCTTGTTAGCTATGTCCACATACAGATCTTGTTCCCTTGATGTGCTCAATCAAAAACAATTCCAATAACCAAAAACCTGGCCCAAAACATGAGATGATGTGGAGTAATAATAGTATACTAATGAAATCCTTAAACAAGAAGTACCATCAGGTTTTTTAGAAAGGGAAAGCATGGTCTGCTTCCTGCGCTACACCCACCACTACTATATGGGTCAACATCATGAGTTACAACCAGATCAATTTATGCCTGACCAAAACAAATCAGCCAAAATTAAAAATTTAATTAAGTTTATTATCAGGGTGTCTGATCATGTATAAAAGGGACAGGTTCGATCTATCGTACCTTAGTCTCAGAAAAGGGAATTTTTTGGTTAAGCTAATCAGTTATAGTGTTCATAGCTCACCTTTGTAATTTGAGCCTTAAAATCCATGTGTGTCCAGAATTATCTGTATTTTTTTTTTGTTAAGACTATGCCTTATATATATAAAGGTCATGTAAAGAAAAAAAAAGGTTAAATTCCTAATTTAAGGTATTTTTGAAGAAACAACTGTATGCAATTTTCGTACATTACTTCTGAAGGCTGTAAATACATATATTCAAGACCCAAATCAACACCAAAAAATGGGGAATCTGTTTCTAAAAATATTTATTAGTATAAGAATTGAAAAGTGGTATTAACTAATGTTTATTATTGTTATTACAGGGTGTCAGACCTGAAGCTTGTGATAAAGTTATAGATCCTGAGATACGAGATATAATAGAGGGTTGTATAACACCCAATAGAACTGAAAGGTACTGTCTTTTACTGTTTTTATCTAGATCCACTGTTATAATGACTCATTGCTTATCTTATTAGTGTCAGTCATGCTACACTCCCCAATAGAACTGACAGGTACTCTGTTATGATCCAAATAGGATGTAAAACTCCATTCATTTCATTTCTTATCATGATCCACTGTTGGTTATCTTAAATCTGGGTATTGCCATGTCAAGATAAGCCTACTATACACGTATCTATGTATGTATCTAAGCATATTGTATCATATTTCATGCCATACTGGGTTGTCTGCAGGTGTGGTTTTACCTCATGTCATATTGTTTCGAGATGTGTTGATTCTACAATATATTGTGCCAACACTGAGTTATCCCCAGGCTTTGTAGGTCATATATCCTTCTTCAGTCGTATATTAAGTTTGTGTGACTTTGAGTCAAAAATGTCCAATGATATGTAGAAAAGGAGAGAAAAACTCTACTACTGTATCAATCCAAGGGCCTTGTTATTGAAAACTAAGATAGAGTCTTTATCTACACAAACACAGTAATATACTCATTAGAACATATTTTCATTAGATTAAGTTTTCAATGATGTACTAGAAGATGAGTCACCTGGCTATCTGATTATTGTTATCTGACTCCTCCAGTTATCATATAAATACTTCCAATAGTCTTTAAGTAGCCTATAGTTTCTATCAAAATTGTAAACATTACATCACATTGTGCTGATATAACATTAACATATCTACAGTTAATTAGAACTTATTATATCCAATATCAAACTATCCAAATATACTTCAACAAGTCTCTAGTTTTAACAAAATTCTTAACATTACATCACTTTTGACTGATATAACTTCTTAGTTATCTTGAAGTCTTATAGTTTAAAAGGCTCAAACATTAGCATTAGCCTGTTCAGTAATAACAAAAAAAAAACAATTCTACCTCTCTAGAATGAACATGATATTTAAATTCTCGAACCTGTGTGAGTAAATATTCCTCAGTGAACTTACCTTGTGCCATAAATATACAACTGAATCTCTGTTTAATCTGAAAAAACAAAAGTTATTAGTTTGATTATTCTAAATATTTAGTGATTTTAAATGATTCTTTAGGTCTAGTGAAGTATGAGACACACACTTATATCTGTTTAATATTGCTTCTTATAACTCTGTGTTTTAGTTTGTCCAATATTTTCATCTTCGATTTATCTTTGTATATTAGATAGTCAAACCATTTGTGTTTGTTATACAATGTATCCATATTGTAACTCGATTTTCTATGTATTTTAGATACAGTGTAAAACAGTCATTACAACACGATTTTCAATGTATTTCAGATACAGTGTTAAACAGTTATTACAACACGATTTTCAATGTATTTCAGATACAGTGTTAAACAGTCATTACAACACGATTTTCAATGTATTTCAGATACAGTGTTAAACAGTTATTACAACACGATTTTCAATGTATTTCAGATACAGTGTTAAACAGTCATTACAACACGATTTTCAATGTATTTCAGATACAGTGTTAAACAGTTATTACAACACGATTTTCAATGTATTTCAGATACAGTGTTAAACAGTTATTACAACACGATTTTCAATGTATTTCAGATACAGTGTTAAACAGTTATTACAACACGATTTTCTATGTATTTCAGATACAGTGTTAAACAGTCATTACAACACGATTTTCAATGTATTTCAGATACAGTGTTAAACAGTCATTACAACACGATTTTCAATGTATTTTAGATACAGTGTTAAACAGTCATTACAACACGATTTTCAATGTATTTCAGATACAGTGTTAAACAGTTATTACAACACGATTTTTTCCTAGAAGATACTGGACTCAAGGTGGAGCTAGTAAATAAAGAAGATGAAGGGAATGATGGGAAGGTTATATTGTTACGTTTACGTGTCGTAGATCCTAAAAAACGTAAAGATAAACATAAAGAAAATGAGGCTATACAGTTTGATTTTGATCTAGAGAAGGACATAGCAGAAGATGTTGCACAAGAAATGGTATGTTCAATGATCACACGTATCTGTTTTAAAAGTTTTTTTCAATCTCGAGGGATCTGTGATGGCTCAATGAGTTGGTCGCTTGCTGACTTACTTCTGAAACCAGGGTTTAATCCTGAAATAATACTTTTTACATTACCAGTGATGCAGTGGTTTGAGGGCTGACTTGGTAGAACTAGTTGATCACATGGGACAATAAACTGAGGCCCTCATGCTTGTATGTGACTGTACCCATAATAGGTCCTTCAATAGTTGGAAATCAGTAGGATTAGGTTTATGTCGCTGTCCTGGCAAGCTTTCACTCATTGCTCATTGCATTGCCTTGCCCTTGTCCCTTAGCCCAATCAAGTATAGAAAAGTGGGACATAAAACTCCATTTCATTCATTAGCCAAAATGGGTGCTTAAAATTAGGATTAGGATTCATTTCTGTTTATTTCTATTTGTAGGTAAAATCAGCGTTCCTGTTGGAAGAAGATGGACGTATAGCCAGTAAACAAATTAAAGATAGAATAGCCCAGGTCAAACGAGAACGAGAACGTCGACAGGGCGAAAGTCAAAATAAACAGACTGACGGCAACCAATCAGATTCCTTGTCTTCGTCGAGTCAGTCTCAACTTCTCCCTGGGGGTCAGAACAGTCAACCCTCTCATTATAACTCTAATACATCTTTAAATATCAACACCCAATATACCAAATCATCTACCCCCCCTCAACCCAATACGACAGATTCAACCAGTAATCAACAGTTAAACGTGGCTGGCTCCAGTCAACAGGCACGAGAAGTGACAGTACAAGTTAATGTCAATACTGGACAAATTCTTAGTCAAGTTGATGGTCCTCAGAGTCAACTACAAACTGGTAAGTCATAGAGAACTTGTTCTTTTGACGTGTGAATTTTGATGTTAACAGGCCAGTTTGGATGTCTGCACAGTTCCAAATAACATATAAGTTGTCGTTTTGAGATTTCAGAAGACTTTCAAAAAGGCTGTCTGCCCATAATGGGTATGTGCACTGCCGAATAACGGATAAAATACCATCATATTAGCCAACGATGCAATAGCTCTGACTTAAATATATGAATTTTTCCTTGTGGTTTGACATAAGGAATGCTGTCAAGGTTAAAGATTTTGGAATTAAAATATCACTCAAAGTGCTAAATAAATGATTCAGGGTTTGCACAGCCTTGAAAAACCCTTGAATTCCGTCCGTTGCCTTAATTGACAAATATTAACTATCTTTATTGATTTCACAGTTCAGACGTTAGGTACATGTGTATTCTGTCAGACTAATATCCTTGAAAAGTCTTTGAATTTATGAGGCAAAGTGTTGTATGAACCCTGTGATTTTGATAGCCTATTTCATCTTCATAATGTCAAGTTATTTCGAACATTGTCTTACACCTTGGCTTCATTACACACGGAAGTTTATAGATGCTGCGCTTTGATTGGATTGTAAGGATGTGAATTCAACCAATCACAGTTTGTAATAGCATGATAGTGATTCTGATGGTCCTTTGGAACATTCCAGGAGGAGTAGAAGGTATTCTAGATAGTAATCATCTCAGTGGTTCAATATTGAGTTTACAAACAGCAGGCGGGGTTAATACATCTTTATCAAATATACCACAGTCAATACAAGCTGATATATCAGGTAATTATATACTTTATAATAGGGTTTTTGGGGGTGAGAGGGGGTCAATACAGGCTGATATATCAGGTATTTTACTTATGTTTTAAACAGAGTAGAAAGGGTATTTGGTTGTAGACAGTTGGAAATATGCAAGGGCTATATACAGGGCGAGGTATTGTCATTCAAGGGCATTTATGAATATACAAAAAGGTGAATATCAAGGGCAGTGCTGAGTGCAATGCTGGGTGTGGATCTAATCAGAATGAGGGAATCAAGAATTGAGATGTTAATTTCCAAATTATTTCATTCTAGGAGTAAAAACAGGGGAACAATCGACAGAGAACAAAGAAGCCAATCAACAAAGTGGAGTGCAAACGGGTGTTCTTAATATAGGTCCTGGTGGATCAAATATACCAAATTCACAGGTATGTCTTCTGAAAATATCATAACTTGCAAAGCCTTTCTTGCGAGGCTGGATATGATTTGTCAGGCATCATAATACCCCTTATTTTACTATGAGTTCTTCCAATAATACAGGCACTATTTCAGATTGATAGAAAGTATGCATGTGTGGAAGAGATCATTATAAAGTTAAGGGGTTATCAAAAAGACTACTGGCACTTTATATCCAGTCTGGTCTTGGTATGTTTAGAGGAGCACAAGTCAGTTACAAATCAAACTTTTAGCTCAGTGTGTCAGTTAGATCTGCTGCATCAAATATTAGAAGTTGACTTGCACACATTTAAAGACGGATATCATTCAACCATAATGCATAATGCCCATCATCTTTGTCCCATTGATGTAGGGTCCTTTTTTGAATAATATTAACTTTGCCAAACTGTGTCCAGGATAGAAATATTCCTGTTTTATACTTATATCTTTTCCTCTCATCTTTCAACTTTTCTTCAGTTTCATTTCCTAATGTTGTGATCCATTTCTTTTCATTTCTGGCCCAATCATTTGACATCCCTTATTGCTACCTGTAGTACTTTTTAAAATGGAACACCCAGTTGAGGTGCAATGAACAATGAACATGTGGCTCTGATGTCTATACAGACATCTTATCTAGACATCTTATTTTTACTCATTGACATTAACCTGCAAATCCAGAAAAAGATGGCAACATCCATCCATCATGATTTAATTCTATCCATTTCATAACTATGAAAAATCAGCAGTCCTTTTGATTTGGGGTGAAATCGTCATAATTGATCATTTCTAACTGCATGCCTATAGCTGGTATCTTTCTGAAAGCAGAGGACAGAGAATCAAATCAACTAGTTTACAATGCTCACAGTTTTGCAAAAGCCACATGGCCATCTTTTTTCTAAGTGCCTTCTTCATCTGATGACATATGTAACTTGTGCTGAAACATTATATTAGTAAATAAGCAAGTTATTCTATAATATCTTCCCTTGTGTTCAAGTATAAGAAAGCTGATAAATTTATAACAATAATAATCATTCAAGCAAATATTATCTATTTTTGACTTAAGGGGACAGGTGCGCAGAAACAGGATTTTTTTTACCTTAGCCAATCAGTAAATATCACCATCGATATTTGAGCCTTCATGTGTGTCCACAATTATCTGCGTTTGAATCTTAAATGACTGTAATATGTAGAAATAGTGAGTAAAATTCCTAGTTTTAAAGGAATTATATGATTTTCTTACATTTCTAGAACTAGAACTAGACTATTTACATATATTCAAGGCTAAAATCAACCCCCCAAAATGCTGCACCTCTCCCTTTAAGATAATCACACAGTTTTTATTATTTTGATGCTGTTAATTGCCACTCTTCAAGGCGACATCTCTGAGTGACCCTGCTTTCAGAACAGCCTACCCTGATATACCCCATTTTGATTTTGATATTGAAATAATTTAACGATAACACTTTCACCCTACTAACAGGTTTACCGGTGTTATTCAACTAATTATTCACCAGGTCAAAGGTCATCGACGGGATCACTTCCAACTACGCCTCATTGCCGTAAATCGGCACGACTTTTAGCCAAGGTGTGTCACCTTCAACTCCTAGCTTCTAGAGTGTTGGGTCCAGGTTCAGTTTGATCTTCAATCAAAATACAGGCTCATTCAGTTCTCTTTCATTCCTAAAGTATATCAATAACATTTGGCCTCGTTTGATTAAGATTATATACCACATTTAAAAAAATGAAGAAACAAAATTAATTGCAAGTGTAGATGATGGAAATCAGTCATTATTTAAGTGTTGATTGTGAGAATTCAATCAGAAATTTGTATTGTAACATGTAATTTAGATCTTATGAGCTCTTGGGAAGCGTATCCTGCCATGTTGAGATGTCTGTCAACATATGAAGGTACAAATTATTGCCCTGTCTTCAGAAAATTAATGAAAATGACATGAAATTTTCTACTTGAAATTGACTCAAGAGTCTATAAAGTTCCTGTATTTTGACTGAGATTTAGCATGTTTTTTATAGAGCTGTAGTTATAAGCATGTTTTATTTTCTACTGTTTTTTCTTACCTTCCATGTTCTTTTCCTATTAAGTTTGAATTAGTTTATTGATTGATATTTATGAATATTCCAGTCCCTCGAATTTTTTTATACTTTAACCAAAATTTTAAGCCTGGTGTAAGTCCTATTAATTCAAATGAAAGCCTCTCCCTGCATATTTCATATCATCATACCTTCATATCAATATCATTCTTATAAGGCTGTTTTTATAGTATTACCTCTTGTCCTTGTTTGATATGACTAAACCAAAATATACTCCATGTTACAGTTTGTATTCAATAAGTGCCCACATTATGCCATACCAATTTGTATAATGCCCAAATATCCCTATAATTATTTCTCATTTGATGGAAAAATGAAAGTTTATATTGAATGAAGGGTCATAGTGCTCTAATTATGTTCTTTACCAGATGAAAATCTAAAAGGTAGCCGACATATTGACAAGATTGTACCAAATTATCCGTTAAACAATATGACAAAATCAGGCTGGTATGACTGAATAGTTATCTCAATCTGATTAAGATGCAAACCTGTATGTTTTGTTTGATTTTGACTACACGTGGCATCAATTATCTGACAAATTGTTCTATCATGCCCCACAATCTTAATGAATAAGTTTAGTGGAGTATTGAGTTTTGTCTGTTTGGTAGGGGACTATCTAGAGCACTGTATCCCTCCAATATTTTAATTATTGATCAGTTAAATGGTTATTAAGAACATTTTGGGTTGTTATTTGAGGTATCAGGTATTTAGAGAGCACCCATTCAACACCTTTTAAAGCTTTTTTGAACTACTAACATTTAAGGCTCAGTTAAAGAAGAGGGTTGTTCAGTAGAATGTTTAAATTCACTATCATAAATGGAGACCTTTCCTTTCTACCTTCTTCAAAAATTTATTAGAAACCAAAAGGGGAATTCCATTCAAAAATATAAGATCTACACATGCGATATGCATTAGTCTTACACCAGCTTGTAGCTATTTTTTAGAAATCTTCCGCTGTAAATGGACTTGCATAGATTATAATGCTATAAGACAGTATGTCTGAAATAGTGGATTTGAAAAACGTCAAAATAGTGATTATTCATCCAAATCTTGCTGTTAAAGGAGAAATCTACTCTATGATATGTGAAATTTATGACATTTTGCTGAACGCTTCGTAAATTTGAAATTTGGTTACTGAGTCATTTTGTTGAGATTTTATTTGAAATAAAACTAATACTAACATCACTGGGGACTAGAAACAATTGTCGTAGATATAGATTTCAAAATGTTAAAATTAGAATCCATTTGTTTCTGAAGACTTACACTAATTGATTGAAAATGAACTTGAGTAAAGTGTTTGAATATCCAGCTGTTGGCAATACCATCCAGTTCACAAATTATGTGAACTATGAAATACAGTATGACATCTTATTTGATATCACATGAAAATTCCTTTTGAGGATATCTACTGTACTACTGTCTTATATTGTTCTCAAAAATTAATAAATATTTATACACAAAGACCTAGCCAAGAGTTTAAGACTTGAAACAAATGGATTTTAAATAAACCTGATGTACATCTGTACAGTCTTTGTGAAAACTCTACCTCTATGCTAAAACTCAGCAACGAAAATGAATGCATGTGAGTTTTCAATCGTACAGTTTTCTACAAAGTTGGCACAGATATAAGTCCTTCACCCTCCCTACTGTTTCAGAATATTTAAATTAATCCCTACTGTTTTCCAGGCAAGTAATTTGAGCCATCTTGACATCAACGCAGCCCAACAACTTCAATCTCGCTCTGCAAGTGTCGCAGCCGGTGGAATGCAGAATCCTGTTACTGTGTCTGCGGCGGGCCAGACCAATCCCACTTCCAGCATCACATCTAGTCAGTCTGTTGGGTGTATCAGTGAAGATGCCAGCACTGCCAGAGACAGGTTAGTTGAAATTCCAAGTCAAAAGAATTACGGATTGATAGGTCAATAAATAAAAATTAATTTTGAAAAACCAAGCTTTATCTTCCTTACATAAATAAGATTAAATTTGGAATATTCATGACACAAAATTTGATTGGATTAAGTTTGGAAATATTGTACTCCATGATGTTGCTAGTTTTCCATTACTATAAACAAAATGTCAAATCCTATGATGCTTTCTGACTTAACTAATTTGGGATAATGTAGGAGGAATTGTGGGTGATTTTGAGATAAATGTAGGAGGAATTGTGGGTGATTTTGAGATAATGTAGGAGGAATTGTGGGTGATTTTGAGATAAATGTAGGGGGAATTGTGGGTGATTTTGAGATAAATGTAGGGGGAATTGTGGGTGATTTTGAGATGAATGTAGGAGGAATTGTTGGTGATTTTGAGATAAATGTAGGGGGAATTGTGGGTGATTTTGAGATAAATGTAGGAGGAATTGTGGGTGATTTTGAGATAAATGTAGGGGGAATTGTGGGTGATTTTGAGATAAATGTAGGAGGAATTGTGGGTTATTTTGAGATGAATGTAGGAGGAATTGTTGGTGATTTTGAGATAAATGTAGGAGGAATTGTGGGTGATTTGAGATAAATGTAGGAGGAATTGCGGGTTGATTTTGAGATAAATGTAGGGGAATTGTGGGTAATTTTGAGATAATTGAAGGAGGAATTGTGGGTGATTTTGAGATGAATGTAGGAGGAATTGTTGGTGATTTTGAGATAAATGTAGGAGGAATTGTGGGTGATTTGAGATAAATGTAGGAGGAATTGCGGGTGATTTTGAGATAAATGTAGGGGAATTGTGGGTAATTTTGAGATAATTGAAGGAGGAATTGTGGGTGATTTGAGATAATGTAGGAGGAATTGTGGGTGATTTTGAGATAAATGTAGGAGGAATTGTGG